GTCAAACCAGGTTGTTACAATCCGAATGTCCAGTTGAATCAGAAAATTTCTATGTTTTGAACCAGAATGGTGACAAGACTTCGGTAGAGGAATGAGAACTTACCAAAATCCAAATAATTAAGACCACGAGATCAGATTTTCTCATCTCTAAAAAGACTTTGATGAAGACGCTAAATTTTCGAATTTAGAAAATAAAAAATCGTGCAAAAGAAAAGAAAAGAAAGATAAAAGCTCGTTCGATTTTGCAGCTCAGTCCAAAATATTTTGAGTCCAAAGTTGATTGTAGAATTGCAGAAGCTACAAAAGATAAAAGAAAAAAGAATACCACAAGTGCCATAATTTTCAAACAATGCTCACTTCGGTGTCGTAGTTTTTCAATCGATTACCTAAGTGTTCAAAAATTCCAACATGGTGTCAAAATTCACGGCACCTGTGGTGAATGTTTTTTTTAAAGTTATTGGACTCGAATGATCGTTTAAAAAGTTATGATATTAAAGTGAACACCTTGTAAAAGTAACGGCACTTATAGTGTTTTTTCCCTAAAGATAAGAGGACAAATTTTGAACCTACTTCTAATCTCCCCGGGAAAATGGCATTGACTAGTTCGTGAAAAGGGTAGCCACAAAATTGGGGAATAAAAGTCAGGTAAAAGCTAAGAAAAAAAAACTCAGTCAAAGCAGAGGCTTTCAGCTTTGTCACTTCTGGATCAGACTCTCTTCACCATTAGATTCTATTCCTCTCTTCACCATTGAAGTTTGGTCACTTCAAGTTGCTCTAAAGGTCAATCAGGCTGTTGGAAAATTCCGACGTAGTATCAAAATTCATGGCACTTGTGATGAGTGTTCTTTTGTAAATTACAACACTCAAGTGATCATTCTTTAAGAATCATGATACTTAAGTGAAAGTTTTTTTTTTAAGTTATGACACTTGTAATATCTTATCTTTAATAATAAAATGACAAATTTAACCTACTTCAAACCTCCCTCAAGAGAATGGCATTAACGAGTTCACGGGAAGGGTAGCCACAAAATTGGAAAACAAAACAGGGAAAAAAAAAAAACCAAGTCTTTCTAGCTTTGCCACTTCTGGATCAGTCTCTAGTCACCAATACATTCCAAAACCTATTGGAGAAGCGAAAAGCTGACGAGGTCAAAGGCGATTGAAACTTGAGGATTTCCTGGATTCATCTAAAGCAAACGTGCGCGAATATCGAACTATTGTAATAGTTGGGTCCCCAGATAAAATTAGAAATGATCACCGTTGAAAGTTGAGGTGTCATGGTATTAATTTACTGTGCCTTATTGACTAGGTAATCTATGGCTATAAAAAAGTACATTATTCATTATATTGTAAAGTCGCCGGAACTCATTAAATATCGAATCAACAGAATGTCCATTTGCTTCATTGGCTCAATTCTTTGTCTTTTTTTAAAAGAAACTCGCTCCACACCAATTCATTATACTTATAATCTCGTCAAGTCAGTCCGGTTCAAGAAATACGATCGAAAAGATCGACTCTAGTTTTTCGTTTTTGTTTTGGAGGAGGATGTCTTTAGTCCATACATTGGTCATTTGCTTCGCATTGTATATTGAAATGTATGCAATGTTGGCACGAGCTTTTTATCTTCCAAGGGTAGATTAGGACGATGTAAGTGGAAAGGTCCAACCCCACCAAACAAAACCTTAGAGATTACGTGGGGGCGCTCGATGAAGTCAAGTTAGGCAGGGTTGGTCTAAGTGCTGGTAAAAAAGCAAAATTTCATCATATCGAATGAGAAAGGTCACATGTCGGGTCACATCTCCAAGGATGATGCGTTTCACCTTTTGGAATTGATCCCTCTCCCGCCATTCGAACATTACTGTAGTGTGGAGTCTGCGGAAGAAACTAATAAATATAAACGTAGATTTTATTACGATTTTAACTTTCGATCCACCGACTTTTCCTGTAACATGAGTAATCGATTCGATACTTATGTCATTAGGCCCGCTTAATTAGTGTCTCGAGACGATCGTGGCAGACATCTTTTTGTCGAATAACACGACGGCATTTGATTCACGTTGTGACGGTCGAAATCCACGAGCCATCTTTCTTGTTCCAGGTTGTAAACAATGGCTATGACATTTTGAAAACACGATTCAGACTCGATGAGAAGAAAATCTTAAGATGTAAAAATGAATATTTATTTTGGTGTAAGTAGCGGGCCCCAACACTAGACTTTTTATTCCTATTCTTACCTTCCTCCACCAAGAACATTAATTATTTTGAGAATAACTCGTGTTTTGGAAATATTTATTAAATATTCATTCGAGAAAGAATTGTAATTTATAATGTATTATCAATTTGATGTCATGTGTAATCATTACATTGAAAATCAAAACATTAACGAGACCAAACCCTTTTACTTTTGGGTAGCAATTGCAACAGTTTTGAAACTACGGTAATGTCATCGCTTTCTTGAAAATTTGTGCTGGCAGCATTTTAAGTAGTGGAAAGAGACATACCTTTTTTTTTTCTAGGGATAATAACACCTTTTACAATTGAGTACTTAATTTTTTTCTTCATTTCAATCAAGCTTCTTTGTTTTTCAACTATGAATTAAAATGAGTCCCTATTAAGATCATGGACATAAAATGCCAACTCGAATACCAGCGTTAAATAGCCTTAACTTGGACCTACACTGTTAAATAGCCTTTAACTATCCGCATGGGCATCAATGCGACATCTTTAGATGATGCGTCATCCACAGAGATATAAAGAGCGACTCTAATCGTTCAAAACGGCACACAATCTCTCTCCTCATCACCCGAAGTCTAATTGGAGACGACACAATCTCTGCTAAGTAAGCGAGTCAAGTCATCGATTGTAATTAGATTTAACAGAGTACACGAACCGTGTCAGCAAAATCACATCACACGACAATTTATCTGACTTAGGTATTTACGATGTGATTACTTTCTTTATGGTTAATAAGACAATAGTGATACCAGCTCACACCAGAGCAGATGTCTCTGTCGCTTTTCCGCCTTTCTTTTGGTGTAAGGATTTTCCTGCAAAACATCTATTAAAGCAACTGGTTTTTTCCCTAAATCTTTCTCTAATCAAAATATTTTTTCCCATACTTATTGGAGACACAATAATAACAAAAAGGAAAGTATATAACAAGCTTTTGAAGTGCGCTCCAAAGACCATGTTAAGCAGTTGCAATGTCGATTTAAGTGAAGAGTGTCTTGTCATACTTTTAGCTGTTTTACTTTTTGCAATCCTTTTAACTACGAAATATTCAAAACCTTTTGAAACATACAGTATTCACATTGAATAACAAGTGTATTGAAATTTTCGTACTTCCTCAAAACTCCAAATGGAAACTTTCATTAGCAAAAATTCTGAAGGGGAGAAAAACGACAAGTAACTAGCGACAACAAATGGGTCACGGCACCATCGTCATATTGCGGGTCCAAAATGAACACAACTTATTCTTAACGTGACCAAAGAATTTTTAAGATTTTCTTGCAAGAAGATAAATTCCAGCCACACTCCATTTTCTGTGCGGTCACAATGAATGGCGCAAGAATTATTAACCAGCACAAGGAATCGTGCTTCTTTTCCAAGTCCATGATGCACTAAAAGAGAGTCACCAAACCAAACCGACGTCGGACCCACCCGAGTAGGTCATTAAAAGTTTCCATCTCGATCCAATTCAAATCTCGAAATCATCGGTATGTAAAACTTGTTAAGGGTATTCTCTCTCTAGAGAAAACAAAGTTACGAGGCAGGGGAAATTAGGGGCATGAGAATTCCAACCACACTCCATTCTCTGTGTGGTCATAATGAATGGCACAAGAATTCATTAACCAGCACAAGGAAAAGTGCTTCTTTTACCCGGTCCATGATGCACTACTAAAAGGGTCACTAAACCAAAACCGACACGACCCGCAGCCTCAGGCAAAAACATTAACATGGGGTCCTGAAGAAGAGAGGGGGAGCCATCATCCTCCCACCGACACGCTTCATCAGGTCACAGGCACACAGTACAAAAAACCAAAGAGGACGACGAACTACTACATCAGGCTCGAGACTCGAGGCTCCAACGACAGCGAGACCGCACACCACCAAGCAAGCCAAAAGCAAAGGCAAAAGGCGCGCGCGCCACCCGCCGTGCCAGCTAATGAGGCAACCAATAGAGCGACGACGGAGCGAAAGGGGCAAATAAATGTAGGAGTGTGTCCAAAAGAGTGGTTGGGGAGGGCGTTCTGGGACTGGCTGTTGGTGGCCTGGCATTTAATACACAGTTTCGTGTTCGTGTCTTTGGCAATGGGCAGGTCTCAATTGGCAATGTATGCGGATGCAGTGGATGGGCATCAAGTGAAATGACACGAAACGAAACGAAACGAAATGGAAACCCTGTCTCTCCCTCTCTCTAGTGTGATCTTGGTAAGCTTCTCACCAAAAAGATAACCAAATGGGACCAGTCCTTTACCTTGCAACCATAATTCAAATCCCAACCCCACCACCCATCACCAGCATCGCATCCATTCATGGACACCGAGATACACTTTCAGATCACGATTCAGTGCAATGAATTCGCCATCGCGATTCAGCATCGCCAACACGCTGATATCATGCCCCACAAATAGTTCGATGGCAAACAACTCGCACACGTACAAGAGCAGCCTATTGGGACATCTGAATTAACATGGGATTGTGGCCGTGCATGCGGAGGACCCGTGAAAGTTCAAATGGTCCTTGAGCATTTACGTTCTGCAAATTAAGGGGAAATTGAAAGAATAAAAGAAAGAAAAGAAAGTGGGCATCTCTCCTCTTTCGGTCAATTTCTTCCAGCCTTTTTTGTCTGGCTACATCATCATACAAGCCGTGTGCTTTCAAGAAAGCCAAGATTCCGGTAACGAGAAGGACGTCTTGTTCACATTCTCTTATTCTATACGTTCCAGAAGGAAACCGAAAAGCACGTATTTGTATTGTGAAAAGTCCCGAAGCCAGAGTAATTACTAATTCTTCTTCACTAATCAAGAAGGTGACGGCATCATATGTCTTGACAAAGTACGAAGTCATCCCCCCAGGACAACCCAAAGCAAACACGAGGAAAACGACCCAGATGAGATCTCTCTTTACAAACCCATAATCCACAAGACAAACATGTGTTCAACCAATAATACCTGGTCAACAAGATCAAAATATAATCTAACGGTCAGTCTGATGCTCACTCTAGGCTTATAGCTTAAGCTTAAAAAGCTTCTCCTCCTAACTAATGATTTTTCCTTCTACAATGATTCCAGCAACTTCTCAACCATGCTATACAAATCCACCACCCAAAACCACTCCCTATTTACACATCACAACACCCAAAGAACTCTTCGTATAATTACCTCTCCTAACTAGGGACAACGGACAGCCTTCAGGGACTCGAAGACGAAGCCTCTTGTCTCGGTTCTCTCAAGTACCCAAGAAGTGTCTCAGCCTGTCCAAGAGAAAAAGAACCCAAAACAAGAAGCTCAAATTTCAGCAAACCCAATACAGGCACGAAAGTTGAAGATGTTCTCTTAAGCTTTGATAGCTCACACTAGATTTGGAAATTAAATGGATGACTGAAAGGGGCAAAAATCACTGGGACAGAGAAGTTCAGGCTAAAGTTCACTGTTATTTTAGTCGGATACCTTGAAAAGAAACCGAAGAATATCGACCAAATCATCAAAAAGAACTTCTCTTTCCCTCATAAAGAACTTGTTACTCACACGAGTTTAATTTGGTAAGAAAAGCAAAACAATTATACTTTGACCAAGTTGATATCAACACTTCGAATGTCAATCTCGAAGTAATTTTCCTCGATAGAACACGCAAAAGAATGGATCTTTTTAACCTCAATCCACAAGAAAAGCCGTACCTTATGCTTGGCCTTGACACTGCCGGTCTGAGACAGAGCAACAAGAGGAGGAATCCCACCTTCCCTCACAAGCAACCCTCTGTTCCGGACACTGTCACCACACAGCTGCAACAGCGTCATCACTGCAAACTCCTTCCCCTTCACCGACCCATCTTCAATCACTTCCACCAGCGCGGCCATCCCGCTCTCTTCCACGATCGCCTCCTTCCCTTCCTCGATCCCGGCAAGGCTGCTCAGCACGACCATCGCCTTCTCCGCCATGCCGGTCCCTTGCTCGCCCACCATCTGCACCAACGGCCCCACGGCGCCGGCGCTCACCGCCCTCTCCTTGTTCACCTTGATGGTGCACAGCTTATACAGAGTCGTCAATGCGTCCTTTTTCCCTCTGTTGGATCCGTTCAGGAGCAACGACACCAGCGGCGGTATCGCGCCGCAAGCTCCGATTGAGCTCTTGTTCTCTTCGACCAAGGCGAGGCTTAGCAATGCGCATGCCGCGTTCTGCTTCGAGGTTTCGGTTCCGGTTTTGAGCACGTAGACAAGCGATTTTATCGCGCCGGAGCTCGTGATCAAGACCTTGTTCTGCTCGTGCAGGGAGAGGTTGAGCAATGCGGTGACGGCGTGCTCTTGAGTCCACGGATCTGTCGACCGGAGCAGGGGTATGAGCGCCGGAATCGCGCCGGATTCTCCGATCAGAGCTCGATTGTCGGACCGATTCTTCGCGAGCAGCCTTGAGGCAAAACCAATTGCAGAGAAGAATCAGAGGAAAAAGCTCAGTTTTTTTTCTTCAACAGTGAACTTGCAGATGCTAATCTTAAGCAAATGAAGGAAAACACTTGGAATCTCTCCAAAATTGAAAAAGGGTATAACGTGCAATCGTATCGAATACTCCATTAAAACCTGAGTTTTGCAGCAGCTGAACGCTTCACGGCCAGCGACGGCGACTGCAATCCATCCACGCAGATCTTGACCGTCGGTTGGAGATCCTCCGGCGAGATGCTCTCGATGATCTCCGTCGAGAAGTTCTCCCGCTGCAGGAACCCCAGGCACGGGGAGAAGTCCTCCGGATTCGGATCCGCCTCGGCCCCGCCGCCCCCGCGTCCGTCGCCCCCCGACACCGGCAGGCTCGCGAGCCGCTGCAGCTCCCCGGAGATGTCGCTGCTGCACGCCGAGAAGTCGCTGAAGGCCTGGGAGAGCTCCAGCAGCTCCTCCTCCGACGCCCCGGGCCTCGACGCCCGGGCGGCGGCGGCGGCGGCGGCGGCGGCTGCGGCGACGCTGCTGTAGCGGGCGGCGAGCTCGCCGAGGCGCATGTCGACGACGGAGTCGGTGAGGTTCTCGGAGACGAACTCCGGGCGGTCGGCCGGGAAGGAGCACGAGCTCTCGTCCCGGTAGAGGTTGGAGCGGACGGTCCGCATGGAGCGGCCGACGTGGCGGTGGATTTTGGAGGTGGAGGGGGAGAAGTCGCGGGGGAGGGGGAGGCGGGTGGAATTGGAGTGAGAATCTTCCAGAGAAACCATCGCTGGAACGACGACGCCGCAGCAGCTGCTCTTCTCCTTCTTCTTCTTCTTCTTCTTCTTCTTGCTGCTGCTGCTGCTGCTGCTGCTTTCGCGGTTCCGGGAAGATGAAGGGAGGGTTTCTGATGCGAGCTTTTGGTTTCAGAGCATCAATGGAGGTTTCGAGCTCGTTTTCATGGCGGAGAGAGCAGAGCGGAGGGAGGAATAAGAGCTAGCTGTTGAAGATGATGACGACGGCCATTTTGATTTTTCATTTTCGGTATTTTTTTTTTTTTGGGGGGGGGGGTGCCTCACGGTGGGGGACGCTAGAACGACCGGCTGCGTCGGGTACTTGGGTCACAGCTGTGGCGACTGAATGCGATTCGATTGGTGGGCCAGGCCTGATCGGACGGTCCCTCGAGGGTGTGGGGGAGCTGGAGGTCAGGCAGGGCTAGAGAGATCTGATGGGAGCTGTCATTTTTAAGTGGGCCCCTTCCAGAGAACGACGTCGTGTGCGCTGTCGCTTATTTTAGCGAACCTTTTGGCAAAAAAAAAAAAACAAGACCCATGAAACATGCAAAGGTTAATCTTCCTTTTCTTTTCTTTCTACTCTTTAATCACTATGATAATCTTTCATCCAAAAATGTTGACCTTGGTGTTTGACTTAAAAAGGTTATTTCTTTAATTTTCTTTTCCGTCGTATCGTAAGAGAGAAAAGGAAATAATTCGGGCTCCGTCTATTTCGCAGGAAATAAATAATTTAATAAATATTTTTTTTCTTAAAAATAGTTATTTGCATCGCTTGAAATAATTAAGCAGTAAAAAATATTTTCATTATCGATAATAATTTTTGTTTAAGCATCTTTGTGAACGATGCGAGTATTTTTCAATCGTTCGTTTTTGCAAGCGATAAGAGCGATCGCTTTTTAAGGAAAATGTTTTCAAAATCATTCATTTTCATTAAAACAATCGGAGCATTAATTACATCGGATCTTGTATTAGCTTATCGGTTTAGAAAAATCCCAAAAATTGGTATGGTTCTGAAGCGGTAAATAATTCTAGTAATATGTCGGAACCCTATCCGTCAGTAATGAGTCTGTCAATCATCATTAAGTTTTTGAGTGAAAGTAAATTCAATTGGATATTTTGACGGGCTATCATGTTAAAGGTATCGAACTTCTACTGCTCCGCTCATAATAAATGACATCGGAGCCCCATGATCGATTGGTGGCCAACTCTCAATATGTTATCTTTATAGCGAGTCCTCAATAGCCGTTGATGTTGCATTTACGTAGATATGAAAATATTTGTGCATGTCAAACATATTAATAGCGATCGCAAAGGCATCTTGTTGGGGCCTCCAATTTTCAAATACCAAATAGTAAATAAGGGTCGCTGTCGATTTTAAAACTATACACTTTTTCTAAGTCTCGATCGCTTGAGCAAGCTGATAAGGTACTCGAGCCCTTTTTTAGCATCACATCAACCTTCACCATATATGCCGTGTTCAGCGGGTCTCGAAGCATGGCGATAAAATGCCGAAGCACAAATCCCATTGGACATGAAACACGTCGTGTCCCGAATCCTACTTAGTGTGGATGATTCGCGATCGTCTGTCGCTTCACGACGTGGGAATCGAGTCTCGCAACAGTGCGCCCTTCGAGTTCAATGTTGCTGAGGAATCAAAATCGCGTTTTGATAAAACCCGCCACCCTATTGAAATTACCATTCCGAATCCGATTCTCCATTTCAAAAAACTAATAATAATAATAATAATTGTGCAAATACAGATATAAGACAGCATCACAACTTAGGCCTTGCACTTTTCATCCCCCAAAAAAAATTAATAAAATATCATCAATATAATATAAAATAATAAAAAAGCATTGGTGGATTGGGTTGCGTCTCAGGTCTTTCCTCTTCGATTCTTCTTGACATCGATATTAATTATTTTTATAAATCCCTTTTTGTTTTTTTAATGCAGTAATTTAATACACTTGTTCCTCATTAAAAGCGCAAATGCCATTGCACAGCCCACCCTTACAATATGGTTTTCTTCAATGTACTATGATCTTGACCCGATGCGAGCGAATTAAAATTTTAGGAGGGCTTGTCATTACATGTCCCACGTACAGAACGGTCCCCGGATAATCATTAATTACGCGATTAGTAAGCGAATAATCGCAATTGATTATAGGCCCGAAGATGTAGTAATGTGATCGCTACATGATGAGTTGTCCGCCATGTAAAAGATTTGATTATGGCATCTTAATTGGATTCAAAAAGAGACTGTTTGTCCGGGCAACTTAGGCACACACGGGAACCAAACAGCACATTGCCGTCTTGTCAAAATGTACTTTTAATTTTTTTTTATGTGCCTATGTTGAGAAGTTATTTAGGATAAGTGTTCGCCTCGTGAATACGACCGGCTCGATCGTTCGGGGATACGTGTTCGTGAAAAGTCTAGGGTTAGCCGACACCGAGGGTCAGGAGAGTCGGCCGATTGAGTCCCGCTCGAACCTTAGAGGATCGTGATCCGATTCGGGATTGCGGAGCGGGATTGCATTTCCATTTTTGCGCGATTCTCGAGCATTTTCGGCATTATTTTCTCTAAGGTATTTTAACTTAATCGAGTAAGTACGTTATCTATCTCCCTATTTATATATATCCATGAGTTAAAGTATCACTTGGAATAGGTTTAGGGTTTCTTCTTGAACGCGACGAAAGGGAGGCGAAACGAAATCCTCAGGAATCGTTCCCGGAACTCGACCATTCTCCTTGAATTCTCGAGAATTCTGGAGGAAAGACTCCTCGTTTCTCCATATTTTAAACTCTTCCGACTTCTTGGGGATTTCGTTTCACTCTCTTTGGTCTCGTTCGGAATCCTTCGCCCTACATTCGGCAAGCTTTCGTTCTATTCTCAACAATGGCAACCCTCGACCTCCGCAACCAGGTGAGCACAGATCTAGAGTTCCAAGAGACGTCGAGCAATGTTTTCGTGAGGGCAAAACCGAAACCCAAAATCATTAGCGATGGTAAGATTGGAATAAAAAAAAATCATCGAACCCCCGAATAGCTTTACATTGGAAGCGTCATAATTTTCGTACGGCGCTCACTTTAGCATCAAAATGTTACGACAGATCACTTAAATGCCACGTCGGAAGAAAAACGATCACTTCAACGCCTATGTCGATAAATTTCGGCGAAAAGTCCTATGCACGCGGCTTTTTTTTTTTTTTTTTTAAAAGGAGAAATAATCTCGACCCTTCAAATAATTGGAGAGCTTTCGCGTGGACCGTGGGATTAGCTGCCTCTTCTTCCCGAAATGCTTGGATCCTTGTCCCAACCCTGAAATCCCCCAAAAATCAAATGTAACCTAAATTGGAAATTCTAGATAGAAAATCGACAATCCAAAACGTAGATTTCTACAATCAACTTCATCTTTGTATTCATCATCATCTTCTTCTTATTACTCATCGGAGAGATCGGTTTTCTTCTTCTTCCTCCTTGCCGTTTCGTGTGCAGCAAATCCGAAGCAAAGCTGAATTAAGAACGAGTTGTCCGGGAACGAGATTGATACTCCACCACCTTGCAGGCATTTGCTAAGATACATGGGCTTTCTTCTCCGTGATGCTAGGTTCGTACATGTCGTCGTCGTTCTCTATCGCGAATTGCGATTCGATTTGCCCCGAATTGCCTCGGTTCGAATTAGGGTTTGAAGAAGAGGGGGAAATGGCTGGGTCCGTCCAAATTGTGGTGTAAATTCGGGGCAAATATGTTTAGCGACGTTGTTTAGGGTAATTACATCGACTCAGAGCGCCAGCGAGCCATGCCGGTCGGAAAAAATGTTAAAATATTGCTATGTCAGATTTCCGGCATCCCAAATTGGCTTAGCACTTGAGTGATCTCTTTTTTTTTTATAATGAAAGTGGCACTTAAGCGATCTGTAAAAAAAAGTATAGACATTAAAGTAAACGCCGTACGAAAGTTCTGACACTCCTAATGCTCTTTTCTCGAAAATGCAAAAATATCTACCGACTTTGGCCTAAAAGATTTTGAAATTATGCTGTGAAAACACCTCAAAACTTGCCTATGAAGGCCCAACATCCTTTTCATTCAAATGCCGAACCAAACGCACCCTGTAAGATTATTCCGAGTAAAAACCGATTACACTCGTACTACTACCCTTCACTGGAGTAAAAGTAGACATAATCTTGTCATTCATTAACCTAAGTTGGATGATTCATTTGGCAATGGAAGAGTGGCGATGTGTGTGAAACTTTGTGATTGTAATGATAAAGCCCCACGCGTATTTGAGAAGCATACGGTGTCACCGGCCACTCTGTTGGAAGAAATGAATAACAAATGGCGTGCTTTCAACATAACGATCGCGTCACGCCACTCCAATATAAAACCATGGCCCTTTTCTTCTTCTCTTTTTTCTTCATCTCTTTTCAGAAGGAATTCAAACATTGATGTTTGAAATAAAGTGGACCACTTTATAAAAGAGACCCCATAAAGTGATAATGGTGCCACTCGGATTTATCCAAAATCTTCTGCTCTGTTCTCGTGAGACACTAATCATGATTATGCAGACCTAAGCAAGTTCATGGAAGCGACACGTTCTAAGTAATTATCAACGAGAAAAGTTATGCAACCTTATAATCAATATTACGATTTTTCAACGGTCGATCCGGTTAGAATATTCAAATATTAAATCACGCGCACTCCTCGATAATGATCCCATAAAACTTTTCATGGTATCGAGCATGACATCGGGAGTTCAAATTAACGGTGTTTCCACGAAATCTTTCGTCATTCTAAAAAAGAAGAAGGGGCTCATTGTCGCAATTTTTTGGCGTGAGACGAACTTAACCATAACTCTTTCTTCTTTAATTGAGGCAAAATTATAGAGAGCACACGGTGAAGATGCTACGTAAATAAAATTAACAAAAGTGGGATTTTTTCAATATTTGCATATGGGTTTTTTGGGTTCAATCCTAGTAATTTAGCTATTATTAAAAGAGGAGATTAGGGTTTGTTCCGTGCTCATCCCATTGTTAATAGATATTAATAAAGTTTTAATAACTCATGGGCAGATAATTTGTGATTTCTTTTGGTCAGTCTTAGGGGCTGACACCTGTGTAAAGAAGAATGTTGGCGAAACTCATAATGTTTGAAAAGGATGTGACCAGAAAAAAAGGTCAGCGGAGAAGATCAACTTGAGCAAGCCCC